GTAAGATTTCAGAGATTCCAGCTGCTTACCCAGGGCTTGTGAGGAACAGTAGAGACTGTATTGTCATTATGATATATGGTTTATTTACACACACACACACACACACACACACACAACCTGAGCCTACGATGGAGGAGATGGGAGTCTTGCTTCTCCCATAGCCACATTCTTGGATTCAAGCCAGCATGGCTCTCGCTGCTTGCTGCTTTCCTTCTAGGTCACATCACCACCAATTTCAATTCTAAACTCTGGCTTTGTCTTCCAAACTATCTCTATCTTGAGGGATGAGCCCCACCCATTTGTTGTCTCAGACAGAGCCCCCCTCCCTTTGTTTTCTTCATGGCCCATCACCCAGGCGATCACCTCAGATGGATCCAACAAGTGTTAAAATATAAGACAGACTAGGTGAGAGAAAGGCAGGGGTAATCTCAGAAATTTTCTGAGAAAAATGTCTTCTAAGAATTTTCAGCTCATATCTACTCTTAAGCAGTGCTCACTTAAGGCAGTCGTGATTTGGCCTACTCAGAAAGAAGTAGGCCACATTGAATTCAATGTGGCTTGCTCTGAGGTAAATGAGATTGGGGTTGCAGCTTTAGGAAAACAAGGCTCAATCAGGAATGTGGCTTTAGTACTAACTGGGTAGACCATTGAATTTATCAGCTAAAAGTATTGCTCTCATGTACTCCTTTTGTTGCCTTATTGTTCATAACTTGCAACAGTCTTTTTGTTATAATTTTGTTTCTATTGTTATTAGTCAATTTGGGGATACTTGATGGACAGAAACATGGGATATAAATATTTAAAAGCAGGGAATGAATAACAAATGAACTTGCCTTCCTCTGCTAGTCATGTTAGGCCATCTGAAAAAGCCAATGTTGGTTAGCTGATCTTCAAAGCATTGTGGCCATCTATCTTATTTACTCAGGCTTTTCCTGTAAATGTTGCCAAGGGGAATTGAGTTACAGACAGGAGAAGCTTATTTATCTATTCTTTACATCTCTTAAAATGTGTGATATTCTTTAAACATGTGTAACTCCCCTTGGTGCACAGGAGAAAATGGAGTGTGTGGGGAGAGCAAATGACAATATAAAGCAAATAATTTTCAGGTCATTCAAACATAGCGGTTTCCTTTTGTACTCTTATCATGCTCTTCTTTGAGTATGTGATTTGTTTGTGATTCAGGAAAGAAAGTGGTCTATTATTTTTCCAGTGGTAATGGTACCATCATTGTTATGGTTTAATTAATTCATTTATGAATAGTTTTGTAAAAGGTGTCTTGGAATGTTTTATAGTATAATAAAGAATATATTAAACAAATTTCACCAGCTGGTGTCCCCACTCCCACCCCTCTGCACCCAACCAGTCCATGACATCAGGCTATGATAGTCTAAAAATGGCTGTAGCTGACTTACTGACTGAAGGTCATAAAAGTTACTCCTAGCTACTGAGGTCACCTGGCCTCTAATAATGCAGCTGGATATGCAAGTACATGTGGTTTGTCACATCACTGCAGGCACTTTCCCCCACATCATTAGGCCACATTAACTCAAACTTGCTATCATGCAAATGTTCTAGTTCTTAAAAAAAAGAATTCTTAGGATTTAGCTGTTTCCTATGGGTATATGTGAGAGGAGGGATGTATGGGGTGTTAGGGGAAGGGAAGTACCTCTGGTGTAAAAGGTAAAGGTAAAGGGACCCCTGACAATTATGTCCAGTCGCGAATGACGCTGGGGCTGTGGCACACATCTCATTTTAAAGGCTGAGGGAGCCAGCGTTTGTCCACTTCCGCAGACAGTTTTTCTGGGTCATGTGGCCAGCATGACTAAGCCGCTTCTGGCAAAACCAGGGCAGTGCATGGAAACACAGTTTACCTTCCCGCTGGAGTAGTACCTATTTATCTACTTGCACTGTACTTTCGAACTGCTGGCTGGCAGGAGCTGGGACCAAGCAATGGGAGTTCACCCCGTCACAAGGATTCGAACCACCGTCCTTCTGATTGGCAAGCCCAAGCGGTACAGTGGTTTAACCCACAGCGCCACCCGACTTTGGTCCCTACCCTTCACTCAGCTCTCATCTGCAGCTCCTATGTATCCCTTAGATCATGACCTCTAGTAGCTATTCGGCTTATATGACTACTCATATTTACTGGTAACTTTTGCTTTATTATACAACCAGCTTGCTAGCCTTGGATATTAATTCATTATTATGACAGTGAGATTTGAGCTTAGAGCATTTTAACACATACAATTAAGAAATCTGTATAGTGCATTATCATGCTGAGTGTGAGAGACTGGTAGCACCTGGTGTTGGCCTTGGAATGCCAGCAGGCCTGGCCTAACCAGGAGCAAACTGAGGCAAACTGGAAGTGACTTTGGTGAGGGCAGAGGACTTGGGATGCTATTGCCTTCCTTGCCAGTGAATAAAGAAGTCCTAATCTGGGGCTTAGGATGTGGATTCGACTCCTCTTTCCAAGTATAGCCTTCAAGGGAAGAAATAGAACACTAAAGGAGACAAGGAGGAAGAAATGCCTGGGTCATTTTACCCTACGGTAAGTCAGGAGTAGGAGGTAGTGGTGGGTGATCATGTAAAGGGACTTCAGAGTGGAGGAGGGTGTGCATGGTGATTCATACTAAAGATGCAAATTGTGTGCTGAGCTCCCAATGTTCCTCCTATGCAAACAAGGGGCTCACCAATCCTCTTGTGGAATTAAAGATGGGATTGGTGCTGTAATATCCAGCTTGCAATAAGAATATAGGCCAGATATCAATGCTCTGAACCATGCACACCAAATTTCCCTTTTGAATTATAATGCAAAATGCAATTGTTTGCAGTCCCTTGGAGTTCATTATTGGATTGTGTTCTACTTTATGGGACTGAATTAATTAGTTGTGGCCTTATGCAACATGGAGCATGCTTTGATGTGGTACAGTTGCTTTATCCCCAACCCCTTCCTGGGCTATGCTGAGGGAGATGTTTCCTGGCTTCCTGATGGACTAAACAGTATTTATTACACCACATTACCATCCTCACTTAGAACATGTTAATGATTTGCCTCATCCAAATTCTGTTATATCTCGAAGTTGCCTTTCCTGTGCAGACTTCCTCGTATTAAGAGAAAAGAGCTACTGATTATCAGGACTACAAAAACATGACTAGGCTTTCTCCTCCTGAATGAATTTGGCTTGCACAAATGACCATAGTTCAGTGGGAGAGAGGCAATAGTGAGCTAGGTGGACCAACAGACTGACTCAGCGCAAGGCAGGTTCATATGTTTCCATGACTCATTTTCATGTGCTGATTAATTCACCCCCACTCACCCACTTTTGCTGCAAATACGAAGATTGAGATAGTTGAGGGTTAAGTAGCCATTTTAGTAGCAACAAAAATATTTTGACAGGACATTAAATAGACTTCAGAGAGGGATAATTTATTCCCTTTTAACAGCCTTTGTGGATGAAGACCATCATTATGCTTTCAGGTTTTGTTCAAAAGAGTCTCCTCTTCCTAGGGTATAAGCGGGCAACAAGAACCAGCAAGCCTGGCCTGACAGTGACATTAACCACAGCTGGGGAGACATGAACTGCAGCTAAGAGAGTTGCCTTCCAGATGCACGAAAGCACAGAAGTTGTGTCTTTCTGCAGACACCTGACAAGCATGATTATGTCCTCCCCCTACCACCCCACTTTAACCTCCCTCCAGGTGAAACTCTGATTCAGCATATTAAGCAAAGTCAGAGAGAACCTTGCCCGCCAGTCTGGGAGTCTTGTTGTCTCTTTTTTCTCAAGACTCTACATGCAGAACTTAGACGGCCCCAGAGGGTAGGTTCTTCAGCTAAAGAACAGTGCAGTGGCTCACTTGAGAAAAAGGGAGCCGAAGTTGCTGGAGCTGTTTAGACTTGTAGGGAATCCAAGGAGGGTGTCGGAGTCATTCTTTGCTTTGTCACCCAGACAGGACTCCCCTGTCAAGGTCGCTGAGACACTTGATTTATATTAATTCCCGTCATTGTTATATATCCTTTAAGGAGACTGCAAGTTAAGGAAGGCGGAGGGGCAGTTGTTGTCCCCCCCACATCCTCCTATGTTTTGGGACTACCTCCAGATGTTTTGGGACTACAACTCCCACCATCCCTCGCTAACAGGACCAGTGATCAGGGATGATGGGAGGTGTAGTTCCAAAACTCCTCGAGGGCCGAGTTTGCCTATGCCTGTTTCAAGGCATATGTGATCATAAGTACTTACATTCTACACTCACTGATCCTACATACCAAGGACCTAGCTAGATGTGACATTAATTATATGATTAGTAATCATGCTGTCTGTTTATAAAACGTAAGTACCCGTAGCGTGTGGAAGCTATGCAGGTAGCAGCAAGCAGAGGAGGGAACTAAAGTACTTGGTAACAGAAATGCATCTGATTGGCTTCAGAGGTCCTGCCTCCATACATCCATGCATCAGATCAGGTGTTCAGGGACAAGAGAGGGCCCTTTGAACAGTGGCACCATGCCTCAGCTCACTCACAGCCCAGGTACCCCAAGCTCCCTCTCTTCCCATCTTTTGATGGATGCTAAAAGTGGGTGGTGCTGTGGGTTAAACCACAGAGCCTAGGGCTTGCCGATCAGAAGGTTGGCGGTTCGAATCCCTGCGATGGGGTGAGCTCCCGTTGCTCGGTCCCTGCTCCTGCCAACCTAGCACTTCGAAAGCACAAAGTGCAAATAGATAAATAGGTACTGCTCCGGCAGGAAGGTAAACGGCGCTTCTGTGCACTGCTCTGGTTCACCAGAAGCAGCTTAGTCATGCTGGCCACATGACCCGGAAGGTGTACTTGGCCAGTAAAGCCAGATGAGTGCTGCAACCCCAGAGTCATCCGCGACTGGACCTAATGGTCAGGGGTCCCTTTACCCATTACCTTTAAAAGCACTTAAAGAATGGACTAGCTTTCAGTCAGTAAAAAAATGCTTTATTGTGTTGTTGAAGTCTTTGTTAATAATGCAACCTTTAGAGTTGTTGATAGCTCAGCTGGTAGAGCATGATACTCTTAATCTCAGGGTTGTGGGTTTGAGTCCCCCATTGGACAAAAGGTTCCTGCACTGCAGGGGGTTGGACTAGATGACCCTCATGGTACCTTCCAACTCTATGATACCTGTTCTTTTGCCCTATTTTTGTTGCTTTTATATTTCATTTCATTTTTATTGTATGTCTTAGTGGCAAAAGAGAGAGTTTAATGATAAAATCAAATAAAATAAATTAAACACTCCTTATGTTCTGGGATGGAACCTCCTGGTTAAAGGACAGCCTTTCCTAGCCTTTCTGCAGGTCAGCTTTGGATCAAGCTGCTAGCAACATGAATCAAACACCTCCTGATAACTGATTGGTTTATTAGAACAGAATCTATGAGCCTGTAATTTTATACTGTACAGCATCATGAGAAAGCACCATGCCTTGCCCTCAAGGTATTTTGATCATTGTAGATGATAAGCAAACGTATTTGGGGAGAGCATAAGGAAACAATAGTGAGAAGATGCCGATTCACAGACCTGATGTCTGAAGATTATCAGTTTTATGAGAGTCCTTGAAACAGATGAAAGTAGCTTTCGTCCTCTATTATTTTCTTATTGCTTTCCTACAGTTTTGGACCTAACAGGTGATGCAACATCAGCATTTGAAGGCAGGATTGGTCTGTGCTCAGACAATCATTTTCCTCCATGAATGTCTGGTACTGCCTTCTGGAACCTTTGCAAAGTGATGGTTGTCATAAGCCTCCAGGTCCTTTCACACATGTCCTGCCCTTCTTAAATATCAGCATTACACCTGCTGTTCATACAGAGGCCAACAGATTAATCCAAGAGCCATTAAAGGGCTTAAGTCCTCATCCAAGTCCATTTCTATGTGCTTCCAGCCATACTTTGCTTTCACTTTTATAAATATATCATCATAATCCAAATACAATAAAAATACAGCAAATGAAAACACAAATGTACAATCAATAAATGCAATAACCCAGCAAATAAATGCAATACAATAGGAAAACCAGGTGCACCACCAATCAGACAGTATGCATTTATGCTTGTTAAAATTAAATCCTCCTAATGTTCAACCCAAATCTACCCTCCTGTAACTTAAGTCCTCCATAGCATCATTTGTTTTGTGCATATCTGGCTCACATCTTTATAGATTCTTTCAGCTTCATTTGGAGTCAGACGCTATACAAAGATCCATAACTGACTGAGGGTTCCATGGGGTTTCTGTTACTGTCAGTCAGGAGTGCCTCTTCAAACAAACCCTGTCAACCAATTTACATATGTATGCATCTAATATTCAAGCACACACAATCAATATTCCAGACAATGTACTTTCTCACTCCACCCTTATTCCCTCCCTGCCTTCCTTTTGTTGCATGTCTTAATACATCTTGTTTCAGCATGCTCACTTCATGCTTTCACTGTCTGATTCCTTGCTGTGTAGCCTATCCAACTAATTATTTTCAATTTATTGGCTAACTCTCTACAGGGAGATTAATGGGTTAGTCAACTCTGGCAGCCGGTATACAGTGTGAACAGCTGTAGAGCTTCAGCAAAGGTATGTGTGTGAAAGGGAGGATGCTGGGATTACATTTCAGGTGCTACCTTTGCGATAAACCAAAGGTTTCTTCTCTTCTCTGTGGTTGTGCACAGATTTATCCTGTAATGTAAAAAGCTTTGCTGTTAGCCCTATAGTGTTATGAGGCCAAATTCAGCATGCGATGTCTGATAACTATGCAGAAGTAATGGGAAAGGAGAGCAACACTGGCACATGAGGTGGCACTTGTTTTTTCCTGCTCTCCTACTTCTAAATTATAGCCAGCTATCCTATAAAAGTTCCATACAAGCAATGAGAGTAATAAAATAGACTAGCCCTTATTCTGATAGGATCTATACTAGTTAATGTCACTCTTAAAGAAAACACTCTGTGTGTGTGTGTGTTTGTTTGTGTTTGTGTTTAGGACTGCAGGAATCTCTACTGTATGTGGATGTGCTCTTCATTTCATGTAGAAGAAGAAAGGAGTTTGGATTTGATATAATAATAATAATAATAATAATAATAATAATAAAATTTATTTATATCCGCCCTCCCCAGCCGAAGCCAGGCTCAGGGCGGCTAACAACAATAAAACAGTACAAAAATACAGCACAAACAACACTCTAAAATCATTCATTATAAAATTAATTAATTCAAGCCACTGGCAACCATTGGGCCAGAGCTCCGCGAAGATTGCCGAGGGAGGGAGTCAGGCTGTGCCCTGGCCAAAGGCCTGGTGGAACAGCTCTGTCTTGCAGGCCCTGCGGAAAGATGTCAAGTCCCTCAGGGCCCTGGTCTCTTGTGACAGAGTGTTCCATCAGATCGGAGCCACAGCCGAAAAGCCCTGGCTCTAATTGAGGCCAGCCTAACTTATCTGTGGCCTGGGACCTTCAAGATGTTTTTATTTGAAGACCGTAAGTTTCTCTGTGGGGCATACCAGGAGAGGCGGTCCCGTAGGTACGAGGGTCCTAGGCCGTATAGGGCTTTAAAGGTTAAAACCAGCACCTTAAACCTGATCCTGTACTCCACCGGGAGCCAGTGCAGCTGGTATAGCACTGGGTGAATCATAGAATCATAGAGTTGGAAGAGACCACAAGGGCCATCGAGTCCAACCCCCTGAATGTGATGAATGTGATCTCGCAGCGAAGACCCCGTAAGGAGTCTTGCTGCAGCATTCTGCACCCACTGGAGTTTCTGGATCAGTCTCAAGGGCAGCCCCACGTAGAGCGAGTTACAATAATCCAGTCTGGAGGTGACCGTCGTGTGGATCACAGTGGCTAGGTCAGGGCGAGAGAGGTAAGGAGCCAACTGCTTAGCTTGGCGGAGATGGAAAAATGCCGCCTTTGTTGTAGCTGCAATCTGCGCCTCCATGGAAAGAGAGGTGTCGAGGATTACACCCAAACTCTTAACAGACGGTGCTGGCACTAATTGCGCCCCTGCAAGAGATGGGCGCAAGGAGTCTCAAAGCGGCTAGCATTCTCCTTTCCCTTCCTCCCCCACAACAAACACTCTGTGAGGTGAGTGGGGCTGAGAGACTTCAGAGAAGTGTGACTAGCCCAAGGTCACCCAGCAGCTGCATGTGGAGGAGCGCGGAAGCGAACCCGGTTCACCAGATTACGAGTCTACAGCTCTTAACCCCCACCCACCCAAAAATTGCACAGCACCAGAGAGAGGGAAGGTGCATTACTCAAAGTGGCTATTAGGGGGAAGATCCTCGTGAAAATCATACTGAAATGTTTGCACAACTGTATCAGCACTGCTGATCACACATCTGGCAACGCAAGCCTACGATGTGTCTCAAGGGCACTTTCTCCATACCTTTTAAGAAAGCACTTATCTCTGCAAAGCTTATACAAATCCATGGGGCGTCAAACTCTGTCAACATATAATTATATTTCATAGTGGGAAACAAACCCATAATGCTTTTGTTAACATGTGTCCCTGGAATTTCTCTTTAAAGAAAGAGGTGCAGTTGCATTTGTTAATTGGTTTTGTACAACTGTTAGAAACATAAACCCAGAAAGTCACAACAGTTGCAGTCACCAGCTGTGGCCATCTAGACTAGTAAAGAAAAAGTGAATTACCGTATATGCGTTGTATGTGCAATATAACATTGTGCCACCAGACAGCGCTGTGGAGTCCTGTTTTTCTCTACCTGTTTTCCCTGTTTAAATTTACAACGCGTTTAACTGAAATGCTTCTTTGATGTGTCTAGATCCAGCCTCAGAAGCAGGGCATCCTGGAGTAATTCCCTCCATCCCAGGGGTATGCAACCTAAGGCCTGGGGGCCGGATGTGGCCCAATCGCCTTCTCAATCTGGCCCATGGACGGTCCGGGAATCAGTGTGTTTTTACATGAGTAGAATGTGTCCTTTTATTTAAAATGCATCTCTGGGTTATTCGTGGGACATAGGAATTTGTTCGTCCCCCCCTCCAAAAAAAAAAAATAGTTCGGCCCACCACATGGTCTGAGGGATGGTGGACCGGCCCATGGCTGAAAAAGGTTGCTGACCCCTGTTCCATCCTCTGTAAAAAGATAACAAGCAGAGGAGTGAGTAGAAGTTGGAACAAACTACAGGTGCTGTCTGGTGGTGATTGTAGTTAGCACTCAGCGCTCATTGTCCTTTGTTTAAAATGGTTCGTGGCAATAAAACTGAAACATCCTGTTAGGATGTTAATGGGTAAGCACGGGCTAAGGCAGTGTGGGCAGGAAGGCATGCAAGCATCTGGTTTGAATAGCGAGACTTTATGCAATAGCAGCTGGCTTTGGGCACTTCCCTTTTCCCCTTTTCTTCCTCCACCCCTTCTTCACTTTTGCAAATTGAATGCCCTTGAGCACTTTACAGACTGCACCCTATTTGAATTTCCAAGGAAGACTCGAACGGAGACTACTGAAAAGGACCGGCTTGCTGCAGTTCCAGTAGCCACTATTTCGAGTTGAAATGGCTCTGAATTGCAGAAGACATTGTTGCAGTAAAAGGTCAAATATCTCCTGGAACGTTTGAGAGGCAAGAGATCTGGGGCCCTGCCACGCTTCAAATGTGAAAACAACATGAGAAAAGACATTCAGCTGAGTGCCTTTGGAGGATGCAAATTCCTGTGTGCCATTTAGCCATACAACCTGCGAGGGAGGAGAAATGGGCAGATGAAGAAATAATATTTTCTCTGAAAATTCCCTGCCTCTAAGCTATTTCCTGATGGCTTCCTAATGAGAAGGGGTGGAGGAGGCTGTGGCACTGGATGCAAGCTTGTGTGTGTTCCTTGGGGTACTCCATTCCGAGAGCCTGGAAGTTAACACCGTGGTTTCTCCCCTCTCTCCTCCTGAGATGAGGATCATTTTTAAGTGTTACTTGAACTGGAAGACAGCTCAGGGAGTGAAATAAACACCTGACTGTTAAATGTTAAAGGTTTGCTCAACTAAAAATAAAAGTAGTTCTGGTTTCCTCTGTGAAGCTGTAGAATTACTTGAGGCAGTATGAATTGAGATGGAGGCTTGAAAGGTTAAAGCATTCTTCAAGTGAA